ATATGTTGCAGGGAGATTCAGCAGCACAATGCAAATCCAGACAACGCTCTGACATTTGTGCTTCACGGTGCACATACACTTAGCGGTGAAGTGCATCGGGGTGTGCAGTTAGTACTACCCTACTATCTAACTGGTATGCGTTCAAAAATTTCATCCTATTTAAAATGTCATTAAAGCGTGTAAAAGTTTTAGAGGAATACCACACGTTGAAAATAATTTTGCATCATTCCATCTATTAATAGTTTTCCTAGATTACCAGTTTCTCTGGCTGTTGAGTTGCAGATGGATGATAAAATCAAAACACATGCAACACATTCCCAATAGTCCCTCGTCTATGTGCTTTAGTAATTTAGTAACGTATCAACCATAAGCAACCCATACTGTCGCACTGTTTCCGCCACATACGTTCGGCCTTTCCATAGAAGGTTACTGTCCCTATTCTGGGTAAATTTTTTACAAGTGTGATTGCTTTTGCAGTTCTGACAGTGGCAGTCTTCGGGTCAAATTTCTTTGATGTGCGTTTTTACTAGGACATATAAAAAGTTATCTATTCTATTTTTTCGAAATTCCTCACTGAAGTTTGTAGCAATCCGCTTCTTCCCTCCTCACCTCCTGAGCTGCAACAATGTGTAAAGTCACTTTTTATACTTACATCTATTCTTTGTTTTTAAACTGTTTATAAGCGAAAGTTTTATTTCAGGAGCAGCGCTGTTGATACTGTTTGTTATCCTGAGTTTTATTGCAACCGTATTCTGCCATTCGCAGTCGATGCGTTACACGCAGCTGATCCTAGCGCTTGCAGCAATTATCTCACCATTATTTGCTGCACTGTCTGCAATTGGATTAATGCTGCTTGCCGGATTTCATCTCAACGTGCTCGTTATCATGTCGCCATTCCTAACGTTAGCTATAGGTATAGGTAAGGTATATGAAGCATTTCCTGTGCCTTCTTTCAAGTTTTTTCTCAACTTTCTGTCATTTAATTTTTTTTCTGAGCTTTTTGTTTTCTGTATTGCTCTTATTGGCACTGCC